AAGGGGATAGACAGAAAGAAAAAGATAGAGAAACAGAAAAAACGGAACGAGCGGTTGTTATAAAAATGAACGAAATACCGCAACGTGAGCGTCTTATTCCCGTCCTATTATGTATACTTAACCGTAGCTGTAATATATATGCTTTCTTTAAACTCATCGTTTCGCTCGCTCACTTATACCTCTACACTGTACATATGCACAACGCATCTTTTACACTGTACATGCACACGCTCCACGAGTATCCGCGTTGCCTTAAATTAATCGCGTTTTTCTTAGGGATTGCCAAAACATCGTGTATGGTTTGGACAATGCGTATACACTTTTTATCATTCGCATCATTATGAGCATCAAAAATTATGGGATAACCTGAAGATATATTTACTGTTAAATAATATAATATAATATTTGTTATACTCGATAAACTATGTTCGTTTCGATGTTCAATAGAGGAAAGGAAAAATCGTGTTAAAACATTGAATTCTTCTATTAGTGATTGTATACCCTTTTGAATAAGAAAAAAGAAAAAAAAAAAAAGAAAAAAACGAAAAGTTGTGCATAAGAATGTTAGTTTAATCGATTTAAAACGATCGATGTTTTGAGTCAATTGAAAACGGTCACAAGGAATAACACATGTTTTGACCATCCCTAATACTTTTACATAAGGTTATTCTCTAGAGGCATGCGCCCTATGCGCAGCAGCAATAATATCGTAAATAGGTAAGTTTCTTTATATTACTTAATAATGTTTTTTTTCATCCACGGCTCCGTGTGATATAATATAACTTCTGGTCTATACACGTAAGCGCATTATTATCTTCGATACGATTGCTAAAGAGTCTATGACACATCGCACAGAAGGCGACAAAGGATAAGAGAAATGGGGATGGAAGTGTACAGAACGGGGCGACGTCAATGGTCAATGAGATCGGTCATACTGTATCCTGTTCGTCCAATATGACATACTTTTAAGCCCCTTCCTTTTTTCGTGTGCTGATTGGTACGTTCTAACTAGCCTGACGTAATAACGTTAATAATAATTGATAGCAGCGATAATAGTAGTAGTAGAGTAGTGATAATAATAATAGTAGTAATAGTGGTGATAATAGTATAGTAGTAATAGTAGTAGTAGCAGTAGTGGTAGTAGTAATTAATAATAATAATAATATAATAATGACAATAATAGTAATAATAATGATAATATAATAATAATGATAGCCATACTAATGATGATGATGATAGCAATAATGATAATAATAATAAAATTAATGAATAATAATAATTATAATAGTAATAATAAAAATAATAATAATAATTATAATAATAATAAAGAATCAAAATAAGAATATTAAAAATTTTTTTATAATATACATAGTGCTAAGATGATAATAATGATAATAATATGTTACATCCTGCTATGGGAAATTATATTACACTAGGGATAAACACTATTTTAGGTAGTCCTTTCGCACTTTTTTTCACTAGAGGTCTAGATCGTAACTTTACTTTCTAGTTCGACACGAGCGGCAGCAGCAACAGCGGCAGCAGCAACTATTGTTACAAGTAATATAATACATAGGTATTTATATAGAGCAGTATTATACAAAAAACACATCACATACCGCGCGGACCAGAATCGGTCACCATTTTATAATGTTTTTACTTTTTGTTTTCTTCGTCTTTACGCAGATATATATCGTTAAATAATTAAAATCACAGTAGTTATGCCCTCGCTGGCTCGCTTATAATTTATACAATATCATTAATATCTAAGCCTTACTTAAAATAGCTCGTGTATTATAGTGGTAGGGTACGTTAGTTTTTTTTTTTTTTAATCTTCTTCCTCTATTCTCTTACTTACGAAATCGACTGTCCATCTAGAGCAACGGTAGGTATATTTTACTGTTTTCCTAGAGGAGGGACGAGTGTGAGTTTTTTTGTTCCATCTTTTTCTTTCTTTCTTTTTTTCCTTTAGATTTTTTTTTTCACAGTGAGGACATCGCGTGGTTTTTATTAATCGAAGGTCTTCACTAAGGACTGGGGTTGTGCCTGACCCGCTTGTCAGAAAGACCAAGAGTGACGTCGGTCGATCTCACAAACGTCGTCAGTAACGAGCGTACCACGAGCCATTCCATTGAGAATGGAACTCGCCATCGCGAAGTGAACCGGTGAAGAAAGGCACGCTCGGTGATGTTCACACATTGACCGTGCTAGCCTCTCTACGCTACACAACCCCGTACCTACGTTTTAGGCCTACGATCTAGAAAATCGGCACGATTAGCCGAAGAATCCGTTTGATTGTCACTGATATAATTCCAGAAGAGAAAGCTTCCTTTCCCTTGGAAATACTCTCATCGTTTGTTGTACGATACTGCACTTCTTGAGGGGGACACTCCAGGCTTCATGCCACATGCGAAGCGTCCTACAAGTGCGTGAAGGCGAGAAGTATAGGTAGATTGTAATCCAATAGACTACTGGTTGGCCTCAAACCGTGGCAATGACGATGAGCAAATGAGCGATCTTTGCGACACGGTGCAACAAATCTGGCGCTATTCGCGCCAAGCTCTCGTTTGCGAAGTCACATGATGGGAAAATATGAACTACGTATGCAGGCTGAAAACAAAATTAATTGCATATTTATTTCTGTTAACGTCTTTTCACTTGTATATTGTTCGGTTATATTATAACACTAATGTTGGTAGTTTATTTGATTAACTCAAATAGTTAATCACCACTGTTATCAATTATTAGTGACAAATAGCTTAAAAGAAACAAATTGATATTAGAAATATTAATTAATATTTTTACATACTTGTTGTGATCCTGGTGCAGCGATATTAACAATTCCAGCGGCTTGTTTTTGTTGCAAATACATTATAAACCCAGTCTGAAGATTTTTACTTTGTTGCAGTACGTCAACTTCGTCTCGACCACAAGGAAGAGCAAGAAGCATACAGTGTTCATTATCCATCTGAAAAAAGTGAAAGTTAAAAACAATTAGTTAATTTGTACATTCAGAATATATTATAAAATATTTGAAAAGTTTTTCTCTAATATATTTATATACGCTGTATCAAAGTTTAATATTAAATCTTCATTGTTACAGATTATCATTACTGGTGACAAAAATATTAAAATTAATATAATATTAGATTTTTCAACTTTAACATATCATTAGGCAAGTGTATTAAATACATCATACAATCTAAAGTCCAAATAAAATGTAAATCATACCTGCATCTTTCTTGCTACTCCTTCAACTTGAGTTTGTTCCAATCTCATTCTCTGTGCGATTCTCAATGGTGGAGTTGAGCCATCGCTGTTGCATGGTAAACTGTCTCTTGCTACATTGGGATTGCCAAAAACAAAATGCATTTGTACTGCTGCTTGGTCGTTTTTAAGTGCCAATAGTCCCTGCCACATAACCGGATAACGTTGCAACAACATCTGAAACGAGTCTGCTTGAGGTGGCACTTGGGAAGCATGAGGTGGTGTGACCACTTGGTGTTTTCTAGGCCTATCCGGTGTGATAGCTCTGTCACTTGGCGCTTCACTAGCAGCAATAGGATATTGAGAACGCAAATGCGCCGGTGGCGGTTCGTAGAAGCCACCTCGGGTAGCTGCTGGTGTACCAGTTAAAGATGGATTATTTCCTGCATTATATTGTGGTGGTGGTGGTGGTAGTCTCACTGTTCCGTGCATCATGTATACTTGAGCTACTTGAGGACTATCGGTAGTGCGATCTTGCGGTGTTCTTGTGCTACGTCTCAACTCTAATGGTGGACTGTGACTATCTTCTATGCCTGTTTCAAGTTTGGGATCTAATGGTAAATGAGGAGATCGGGTTTCTTGAATATGGTACGCTATACGCGGGGCTGTTAAGACCTCCTGCTGTGCACGTAGATACTGATACTGGAGCATTTGCGAATGCATGTAATGAGGTGGTAGTTCTCCACTTCTAGTCAGTCCTGCATAGTGATTCACAACGTCAGCCTGTATGTGAAAAATATTATGAATAAAATTATTTGACAGTAACAATATTGATTTATATATATTATTGAAATTGGTAGAACATTGTTTATTACATGTATACATTAATGCACTTTAATAAAAGTGAAATAAAGTTAGCATAGTAAGTACCTGAGAAGCATTAGCATGATGATGGGCAGGTGGGGGCAATGGAGGACTCTGGGATCGATGTGGGGGAACAAGTCCATATTGGCCCCCTGGTGATGGAGTAGCACCCGCACTCCCATGCTAGCCAAAACCAAGCCAAGTTAGTTTGTGTATTGATATATTTTTGGGCAATATATATGTATGTTTTAATGTACATAGTTACACACAATCCGGCGTATTAAACTTGCTATTCGACCATAACGAGGTCAGATTAATTTGATTTAAATTTAAAATAAGCATGGGTCATGTATGAACATTATGTAACTTATTGTATTTTTGATATACAATTTAATGTGACATATTACACCATGAACACTATACTTACCAGTGGTGTTTCATAACTGGATATTGGTACTCCACGTGCTTGGGGACTCGCAGTTGGAACCATAATGCAGCCAGACATTGATACTTCTACTTTTGGTGGTTCCATTGTTCCCGTTACCTACAATCATTGAGAAAGTAAAGATCAGTTGTACCTTTTAGTAAGTTTTAATATCTTTCCTTTAAAGGACTATATTACTTTCAGTTTAAAATATGATTGAAGTAATTAAAAAAAGCAATTAAATTTGATAAAGAAATTATTAAATTATTAAGTTTTACTTTTCTTATCAACATCATACTATACATAACAAAAAATAATCCTTACCGGTGGTTTTGGTGCTGGAGGTCTTGAACAGCTCACACTAGCAGGTTGTGGATTCATCAGATGAGGTTGTGTAGGTGGACTGGCCACTGCGCCTGTGACCATTGGTGGGACTACTGCCTGTAGCAAGTGAGCTTTCGGGTTCAAAGGATGTGGCTGGCCATTGATAGCCTTTAATGCTGTTGGCTGAGAGACAGGTTGATGGATTCTAGGTGTTGGTGTTGTGGTTACATTAGCTGGATGGACGTTCAAGGATAATTTCTGAGGAAGGTTCACAATTGTGGATGTCTGTTGTTTGGCTGCTTGCAAAAGATGCTGTTTAGGATTCGGTGGAACACCAGTGGTGTTGTTCAGCACCGGTGACATAGGCTGGCCTTGACCTTTTCCATTCGTGGCTGCACTAATTTGAGGTGTTTGCTTGGCACGTGGGCTCAAACTAGGAGATACCACTCTGTTACTAGAGACTTGTAGGTGGAGACCTTGCACTGCTTGCGTTGGTTTCACGATGTTCTGTACCACTGATTGACTAGGCACGCTAGGAGCCGCTGGTTTCGTGATAACCACTTGCTGCTGTACTGGTGTAGCCAATTTACTGGCATTCAAGACATGAGCCTTAAGACTCGTGGGTTTCGATTGGGTCGAGCAAGTAGGTGTAGTCTGTGGTACTGCTACCGTTGTTGTGGCTATAGGTGTAACTGTGGTGGAAGTTGTTGTTGACTGGGCCATAGTGGTCGTGGAAGTAACCTGCACCACTGGAGACTGTGGCTTCGTGATAACACTAGTCTGTGGCTGGATCTGCTGACTCTGAACTGGTTCTGCCGGAGGTTGTTCCTTTTTAGGTTCTTCAGTAATTGTTAGATTCTCTGGTTGCAGTGGTTTTGGTCGCAACGCTTCTGTTGTATTGGGGCTGGTGTTAACTACGTTGACTGCTGGAGTGTTCCTTGCATCGCACGTTGATCTGCTCACAGCCTGGGTCTGTCCGGAAGATGTAGAAACTGGAATATACTGACCTTCCTCTGATTCCCTCATAGGTATCAACATTCCAGTTACCGGATCTATCAAAGTCATCGGCTCATGAGAGATTGGTTTCTGCGTTGGTGATGGCGCTGGTTGACTCGCCTCCTCCGTCTTTGGAGTTTCTTCTCGAGGAGGTACGCTTTCTTCCTTATTCTGTAGCTCTTGCGGTGCAGGTGGTGTTTCCTTTATCTTCATTAGTTCTCGGAATTCCTCATCATCATCATTCTCTGAAGTTCTTCGTGCCGATTTGCTGCGAACGCCTCTTGGTGACTTTCTAGGCTCTGTCAGATGCACCGTAGTTTGTACATTACGAGGAGAGTTGTTATGCCTGGTACTTCTTCTGGTAGCATGGACGTTGCCTGTGGATCCTCCAACTACTCCCTTGTTCGCCGTGGAACTGCGCACGACATCCTCGATCACGTCATCGATGGTGTTCCTACTTCCATCTTTTTCGGCCAATCTTCTGGATTTTCTGGTATTCGCGGCTGGAGGGACAAACTCTTCCGGCGGCACTTCCTTCACTGCAGCTATAGGTGTCGCTGGTTGCGCGTTGGGGCCGGTCAAGTTAGGTACAGGAGATTTTATCGTGAGTATCAATCGTGGACGTCCAGCATTATCTTCCTCGCTGTCATCGTGGAATTCATACACGTCTGCCGGCAGTTTGTTCTTCTCCACGTGATGTTTGCTCCCTCTAGATGTCCTAGGTCTACGCTTATGTACAACAGTAGCGGTGTTCCTACTGCTTCGCCTCGTAGTGACACCACCTCGGCTGCTGGTTCCACGTTTGCTCTTAGTCCTGCCACGACGGCTCTTCGTTGACTCGCTCTCACACGTCTCTACTCCTTCATCCTGTTCGTCGTTTGTCATGAAGTTCTTCTTGTTGTCAGCTTCCGTTGCTTCCGCGTTGAACCACTCAGACTCGTTGGTCTTTGGCTGTTCCTGTGTCTCGTTATTGGTACTCTGACCATGCTGCGTTTCCTCATCCCCGTCATTGCCCTCGCCATCGCACAGGGCATCCACTTTCTTTATCACGCTCTCGATGTTCACCTCTTTCGCCGACCAATAGTCACTGTCCTCTTTACTGTCTGCTGGGTCCTCCTTGGACACGTCAATGGCAAGCGGGTCTGTACTTGGTTCTTTCAATGGATCTTCAGCTGGTTCTTCCTCCATATCCGCTTCTTCATTCTCTTTCACGACCTCCTCATCCTTCACTTCGTTATTCGTGACCTCTGTCTTAACCGGTGCTTCCACTTCCATTTTGGGTACAAGATTGTTGTCTGAAGGTTCGGGTTTGGGTATGCACGGTAGTTTCTCTGACTTGACCAATTCCTGTGGCTCCACCTTTGGTGGTTTGGTGTCTACATTGGTACCACATGGCTGGTTCAACGGGTGTTCCGATTCGTTGCTCGGGAATTCTTCTTTTATCGGAGTGTCCTCGTGCTTCAGGACATCGGATGGCTCGTCTTTTATGATGTCCAGTGGCTGTGTAGGCTGTATCGGCGGAGTGAGTTGCATGGGTTGAGCTGTCTGCGCTATCTGTGCATCAGGATCCACCTCTAGCTCTTGTTCCGGTGGCAGACGGGACTCTATGCACTCTGTCGTGCTCTGTTCGCTGATTGGCGATGCTGATAGGGAGGGAACTGTGGAAGGTACTGCTCTCGCGATGATGGCTTGCGAAACTGTGGACACCAATGGGATATGAGGCTTCGATAGCTGGCTGCTCTGAAGGACCGGAGAGTGCCTTTGGCTGCTGCACAAAGGCAGTGACGTTTGTGTGATGATGCATTTCTCTTCTGGCATGGAAACCGTCACCGTGGATGCGATTTGCTGTGGGACTATGGGTACAACTGTCTTGATTAGCGATTGATTAGCAGAAGAAACGGTAGACGCACCGATACTGTGTACAACGGACTTGTGGACCAGATGAGACTGTCCATGAGCAACTATTACAGGACTGGGTGTCGAGGAACGTGGCACGTGGGTGGTCAAGAGCTGTAGACTCGATATTTCCTGCTTCTGCCTAGGTGACAGTAGATTGTTATCCGTCGTGATGGAACCAGAAATCTGCTTCTGACTTCTGGACGACAGAGAACAGGTATCTGCGATGCTGGTCGGTTTCCCGAACACTGGACTGGACGTACTGGCGTTGATTTCGATCTTTGCAGTTTCTGGAATATAAGTGGGCGGCTGATTCGGTGAAGGGACCTTGGGCGAAGTGGAAGCTTTGTTCGTAGGCTCTGGAATAACAGCTGGCGATAGCTTTGGGTCCTCCAAACGCTGCTGTGGCTCGTTGGGATTCACCGGGAGCAAGGTCTCGATCACAGACTTCCCACCCAGAGCAGAATCCCTAGAGCTTTTCACCTGCACACCCGGAGCTAAAGGTGGTACAGGCATATAAGGACGGTGTGGAATATTCAACGTCAACGGTGGTAAACCACCCCTAGGATGACTAGGTGCCAAAGCTCTCATCCCAGGTGCATGCTGAATAACTGGCTGCTGAGTGGCAGCCGTAGAATATATTTGTTGAGCTGGTGTCTCTGGTCTGTGCGCTGATACAGGTACGCTAACCGCAATCCTGGCTGGTGGTGGAGACGGTTTCCCAACAGTCGGCATGTGAGGACTGAGAGGAGTGGTCCGAGACCATTGGCCATTTGGCGATAACGGCTGCAAGATTCTCGGTGATAACTGCGACGGCACTAGAGGAGGTATCCTAGATGGGACTAACGGTGGCAGGGGAGTCTGGTTAGAGGAGGCTGACGTAGAGACTGCAGAGATGTTCTGCATTCTGGGAGAAGTCTGTCGCATGGGTACCATTTGAGCTTGAGGTGAGACAGGAAGCTTCTGATACAAGGATTGCACGCTAATAGGTGGTGGTCTAGGACTGGCTGCGGTTATTCTAGGTGTTTCACTGGTGATGGGTACACTGCAGGGACCTAGGACTGGCTGCTTATACTGCGGAGGTGGCGAAGTCGAGGTGCGATGCGTCTGCGAATTGATTCTCTCTGGACTGGCAGCGTTCACGTTGCTTTCAACATTTTCTACCGCCTGCACGGTCTTAACCACCTCTCGCGGCTTCTCGTTCAAGTTCCACGAATGAGCAATGACAGACGTCGGTGGGCTTTGCGGTTTCACGGGTATGGATGACATTCGCGTCTCGATAGATTTCTCCGTTGCGGCTAGGGAAGGTGTGATGGTGTTGATGGTGTTCGTGGGTGACTTATAGAACGATGGAATGTCTGGTGTCTTCGGTGGTTGAGTTAGGTCGAAAGTCTCATAGTTCGGGTCCTCTTCCGTATCCGTGTCTATCTGCAGATCATGCTCGCTCGGAGGGGTGTCAGGCTTCATGTCAGCCTCGCCCTCTCCCGTCGAAGCATTCAGACTTTCCACAGCTTGCTGCATCTCCTCGACGTCCTCCTGTGGCGCCTCGGCTGGTGCCCCAACTGCGTCTTCCGCTTCCGCGTCTTCTTCTTCACCCTCGTACGAAAAATCTTCCGTGGACCCACCGAAGGTTTCCTCTAGCAGGGCAGCGACAGCATCCTCGGTCTCTTCCTGAGAAATCGCCACGCGTGGCTTATCTTCCGTCTGCGTAGGTGGCGTTGTCGGCGTAGTCACCTCCGGCTCTTCCCTGCCACTGCGCGACTGGCAACTGTTCTCGCGTTCTTCCGGCTCCGAGATACTCTTCACCGCGTTCTCGTGGATAGTCTCGTCCATTTCGATTCCAAAGCCTGGTATGAACTTGTCCTTTTTCTTCTCAGGCTTCGTAGGCTGGATACTGCCACTGACTACCGGGGGTGTCATCGACGGTACCGTTGCCACGTTGGACGTAACTTTAGGGATAGGACTTAACAGGGAGTCTCTAGGTGTAGGCAAAGTGGGTGACATCGTTTTAGGTATCAACGGACTGCTGGCTCTTGGAGGACTAGGATCTGCACCCAGATAGGGCAATTCACCGCTCTTATGGTGATGATGATGATGGTAATCCTTCCGACTACGTTCTTCCTTAGACTTCTTCCTCTTCTTCTTCTTCTCCTTCACCTTCTCCGGAATGGCTGACGGCGTGGATGGCTCAACGCTGTCGTTGTCATCGGTGAACCGAAACACGTCGTGGTCGTTGCTCTCTGTACACGCTACAGCCGACTTGGGAGAGTTCGGTAGTCTCAGGAGCTTTGCCTCGATCTCCCGTCCAGCCTCGGCCAGGTCCACGCTGTTCTCATCCTCGGGTTGGTGACGTCGTTTCTTCTCAGCCTTTCGCCTCACTCGTTCCACGTCCAACACTGGACTGTGACCTCCGTCGCTGTCGGAAGCGTAGGTGTTGTTGCCCAAACGGTTGAAGAGAGTGTTATTGGACGGACCATCGTCAACGTCGTCCGACAATGGACCAAATATGTCCTCCATGCGTTGCGAGTCCCTGACCTCTTGCCTGTTCAGCCTCTTTCTCCTCGCTTTCGTCTTGTCATCCCCGTTTCTGTCTCTCCTCTTGTCCTTCTTATTCCGTTGCTTCTTGTCAGATCTTATCCTCTCCTCCGTGTTCTCCAGCACCGTCGTCCCAGATGTCGCGGTCGTAGTGACGGTGATGGATTCAGACGTGTGGTTAGGCCGACAGTCCACGTTGCTCGCCACGGTGTTCGACTTGTTCTTGTGCTCCACGTTCTCTGTCGGCTCGGTCTTCAGACTGTCATCGTTCGAAATGGAGTTCTTCTGTCGCTTCTGCTTCTTCTTGTGCGACTTCTTCCGCGCGTCTCGTTCGTGGTTGTTCACCACGATCGCTGGATGGTTACCACGGAAAGGAACGGAGATCCGTTCGTCGTCGTCCGAGGTTCGTGGCTCTTCTTTCACGTTCGTATGAACGCTGTTGACAACCACGTTCGTGGTCTCCAGAGAATTGTGCTTCTCCTCGGTGTCAGCGAATCCAAGATCAACGTCGCTCTCCAGGAACCTCTCGGTTTTCACCACCTTGCGTATCTTGTTGTTGAACGACTCCTCCTCCTCGCTGGTATCCGAGTGAATTCGAGACCTGGAGCTCTTCCTTGACAGCGACTTGGCCCTTGCCGAGTCGGACTCAGAGGTGGCTTCGTCTTCCGTCAGAGCTTTACTGGACACCGAGTCACCGTCCCACGAAGTGCTCTGCTTCTTCTCTTCCCGTCTGGCTCGACTCTGCTTCAGCTGCGAGAACTTATCCTTGAGTCTCACCTGTCGCTTCTCTTCCTCGAGCTTCTGCATGTTCTTCGTCGAACGCGCTTTCACCTTGTCGTACATGCTGATGTAAGCTGGCTCGTCGTCGACTATGTCGAAAATCGAGTGCTTCTTGGGCTCGTCGCTGTCAGTGTCGGTGGCCGATGGATGTCTGGCTACCTGGATGTCGTGCGTCGACAGGGGACCATCGTCCACGTCGCTGTGCAGGTTTAGGGAAGACTGTTGCTGGTGGTGTTGTTGGATCTCTCGCGAATGATTCGAACTGATCGTGGTCTGCTCGCTCGGTGAATTCGAATCGTTGCGCTTGGAGAGATCCAGTCTCGATAGGAACTCTTTATCCGACTCGTGGGATACCCTTGGACTTCGTTCCCTGGACTCCTTCTCTGAACGGTTCCTCTTGCTCCTCTGCTTCTCCTTCCCGCTCTCGCGGTTGTTCTCGCGGTTCTCCCTCGTTGACTCCCTGTTCGCCTCACCGTGACTCTGCTCCCTGCTGTCCTGGGTCTGCGTGGAGCCACTGCTCTCCTTGCTGTCCCGGCTCTCCCTGCTTTCGCGGCTGGATCTGTGAGAATCGTTGCGGTGTTTGCGGTCCTCGGACCTTCGATTCTGTCTAGGCCGGTCTTTACTGTCCCTTCTGTGCTCGGAGATCTTCAGACGCTTAGCGTCGTCCTCGGTCGGCCCATCTTGCGACGAACACCGTCGCTTGATGGACACCGGGGCAGGGGAAATCTGATTCTGAGACTGCGAAACGGACTGATGAAGATGATTCTCGGTGGGTTGTCTCCTGCTCTCGTCACGGTCTCTCTTTTCCTTATCTTTCTCCTCTCTGTCTCTTCTCTTGTCGCGCTCCGATTTCTCTTTCTCTCGCCTCTCCTGATCCTCGCGTTCTCTCCTCTTCTCCCGATCGTGCTTCTCCCGTTCCAGCCTCTCTCTCTCCTCCTTCTCGCGCTTCTCTTTCTCAGCCCGTTCCCGCTACGAGACGTTCCTTCTCTTCCCGTCTCCTCTCTCGCTCCAGCCTGTCTCTCTCCTCTTTCTCTCGCCTCTCTTGATCTTCTCTCTCCTTCCTCAGACGTTCCTTCTCCTGTTTCTCCCGTTCCAAACGCAGCTCTCGCTCTTTCCTCTCGCGATCCTCCCGCTCTCTCCTCTCTCTCTCTTCTCTTTCTCTGCGCTCTTGACGCTCCTTCTCCTCCCTCTCTCTCTTCTCCCGTTCCAATCGCTCTTTCTCTCGTCTCTCCTTCTCTTTAGCCTCCATCTCCTCTCGTTCTTTCCTCTCTCGTTCTCTCTCCTCTCTTTCTCGCTTGTCCTTCTCCTGGCGCTCTTTATCCAGTCTCTCCCTTTCTCTCCTCTCTTCGTCCTTCTCCCGCCTCTCCTCTCGTTCCTTTCGTTCTTGCCTATCACGGTCTTCCTTTTCCCTTCGTTCCTGTCTCTCGCGATCGTCCTTCTCCCTTCGCTCCTTCTCTTCACGCTCCTTCCTCTCGTAACGCATCTCCTTGTTCTCTTTAAACTCTCCCGTATGACTATCGTTCTCCCCAACGTCGTTCACCATGGACGAGTTGTTGTCCTTCTCCTCCCGATCCTTGCGACTCCTCTCGACGTCTGCGTCCTCCTTCCGCGACTTCCTCTGACAATCCTTACTCTTGCTGCTGTACTTGGAGTCCCTGCTGTCCTTGCTGTCGCGAGACTCTCTGCTCTCTCGATTGCTACTGCTGACCTCTTTCCTTAGACGAGACCGGGAAGTGTCCGTGGACGATGACAACGACGACGATGAAGAAGAGGTGACGGAGGAGGAAGAGGACGAAGAATTCGACGAGGATGTCGTGGAAGACGGTAGCACCGAGGACGCGGTGGACATGGAAGTTTGGTATTGACCACTCGACAGAGAGGATGACGTCGTGTTCGACATGGTCGTGGTTGCTACTTGCGTGGTCGCAGTTGTCGTCAAGGTGATCGTGGTCGAGGCTGTCGTAGCAACCGGTGGCGTCGGCATCGGCGTCGAGAAAGCGAGCGACGACGTGGTCGTGACCGGCATTGACGCCGACGCGGAAGAGCCGCTACTGATCAATCCTCGCGTGGTAGAGGCTCCAAGAGCGTGAATACTACTTACACTACCGTTGCTGCTAAGAATACTACTAGCTGACGCTAAACCGCTACTATTGCCGCTAGTGGCTGCCGTTCCGCTACCAAGTCCGATCGGTAGAGAAACCGGTGGTAATTCGGGGCTAACAGTCTTAATCGACGTGCCGGGTGTGACTGGAGTTGTCGGTGTAGGGTGCACGCAGTTGTGCTGCACGTTCGCCCGAGGATCTGTCGTTTTCAACGTTGACATGGTCGTGGAGAACGTTAAACTCGATGACAGGGGCGTGCTTATGCCGATCTGACTGGTCATAGAGGTGCTGCTGGCTAACTGTACCGGCGGATGACTAGGAAATGGATACTGCAAGCAAACTTTGCTGGTGCAGCCGCCGCTCGACGCAAGGCCGCTCGCGCTGCCGATCATCGAACTCACGCCTATCACGCCAGTGAATTCTCTCGGCTCGTACTTCTCGCTAAAGTTCTCCAGACGCTTCGAGTCCTCGTCGAACACGCTCCTCTTGGCAAGAACCGACTTCACGATATCGCTCGGCTGCACCTCGTGCAGGTCCAGGTCGAGCAACTTGTGTCGAAACCTGAACCTCTCCGACGCGCTGGCGTCAAGCTTCGCCAGTGCATCACCACCGGCGGCACTCAGCGCCCTGGATCCCGACCATTTCTCGTACTTTTCATCCAGAGAGCGTATTCTTTCTTCGAGACTAGGTGACTGAGGCGCTGTTTCGCTATCGGAGCTCGTTGGACTTGGGCTGGGATGACGAGGTGGCGGCGAGGCTGGCGGCTGCGGGGCCGTTCGCGGACTGGGCGCCGTTGACAGGTTGGCACATGGTGGACTGGTCACTTTAGCGAGACCCGAGTTACTCGATCGACTGCTACTGCTACTACTATTATTGCTGCTACCGGTATTGTTACTATTACTGCTGTTGTTGTTATTGTTGTTCAGCATCTGAGCCGCGAACCTTGGCAGGGGTAACGACAGAGGTCCATCGTGACTCCTTTCACGAAACCGCCTTGGCTCGCTAGGCACCAAATTCTCTGGTCTTTCGTCTACCAGCGGCGTTCCTGGTCGCGACCCATCGTGATGTTCGTGATGCCTTAAATTAACATTAATTTTTTTAATTATCAAAGTAACATTAGCCTCGCTGTACAATTTATTCGGTCTTTCCGAAAGTTCATACCGATTTTTGGTAGGTGGCGTAAAAACAGGTCTCAATATATCAGAACGATTGAAAAGAGGTGATAATCATGTGTACATATCGCAAATATTTGGGAAAAATTTTGGATACAATACGTTAATTTTTGTCAGTTTTATATATCACCGAGTGCAGAATATATCAGAACGATTGAAAAGAGGTGATAATCATGTGTACATATCGCAAAAGACGGTACTTCAGGCATATTTGGGAAAAATTTTGGATACAATACGTTAATTTTTGTCAGTTTTATATATCACCGAGTGCATTTTAGGCATTTAATGCTTTTCTTTTACCAGAAAGACAACAAAGACACATAAGTGACAAACGAGATATGCGTTGTTTATGACAAAGGTGCTGTAGCTGCAAGAATTGTGCAAAAGTGGTTTGCCAGATTGAAAGCTGATGATTTCAACCTTAAAGATCAAGAACATCTGGGTAGACACACCATCACGGATGAAGATCAGATTAAAACATTGATGAGTATAATCCACGCTATACGACACGTAAATTAGCAGAAATGTTAAATATGCCAAAATCCACTAGCATTTTATGAAGCTTAGCTATATAAACCGTTTAGATGTATGGATTCCCCACGATTTAACAGAGAAAAATCTGATGGATCGCATTTCCATTTGGGACTGGTTCTATAAACGCAACGAGGAGACGCCATTTTTGAAGCAAGTAGTGGCGACAGATGAAAAATGGATCATTTATAATAATGTTGAGCGAAGAAGATCTTGGGAAAGCGGAATGAACCACTTTTAGCCACCCTACAAGTCGGTGTTCGTCCAAAGAAGCTCATGCTCTGTGTCTGGTGGGATTGAAAAGGGATCCTGTCTTATGATCTTGTACCAAACAACGAGACGATAAATTCAGAGAAGTATTCTCTTCAATTAGACGAATTAAAGACAGCAATTGATCCAGGAATAGCGAATCGGAAGTACGTCGTATTTCATCAGGGCAATGCACAGCATCATGTGCCTTTCATAACTCGACAAAAGTTGTTGGAGCTCGGTTGGAATGTTTTACTCCATCCGCCATCTTCGCCGGACCTGGCGCCCTCTGATTTCCGCCTACTTCGATCATTACAAAATTCCCTCAATGGAGAAAACTTCAACTCTTTGGTCGAGATAAAGAATCACGTGGAAAACTTTTCGCTGAAGAACTTGAGAGATTGTGGAAGGACTGGATTTTCGAGTTGCCTGAAAGATGGAGAAAGGTTGTAGAACAGAATGGCACCTATATAATTTAATAAGTGTACATTAAAATTTAAATCTCCCGCGCTTCAATTTTACTTCAAAATCGGCATGAACTTTCCGGACGAACCTCATCAAATTTTGCAAAATCATTTCTTCCAAACACAAACCACAGCAGCAACGTACCTGCTGGTAACGTCACGACGACGCTTGCAAGGCCCTGGTCCTCTTCCTTCGCAGCTTCCTCTCCTCGTGCCGTGATGCACGACCACCTTGCTATCGCTCACTCGTCTGATGTCCATACCCTTCCTACTGGAATGCGAGGTGACGAGCAACGACGCGATCTCGGGCTCGTCGTCTTCGCATAGTATGGTGGTGGACGCCCCGTCGAGTTTCGCGCGTTTCTTAGGCGCGAAACCAACCTCGTCACCGCTACTGTGACACTCCTCTAACTGCTCCAGTAGGTGCACTCGCTCCTTCTGCAGGTGTCTGATGTCCGGCGGCGGTAACAACGGTGGTGGCGGTGCAGGCGGGTCTACACTAGTGACAACGCTCTGCACCGCGTGTCTACGTGACGGAGGCGGACAGTCGTCGTCGTTCAGCTTGCCATCGCCGAGCACGCTGCTTTGGTAGTCGTCGTGACTGGCCCCGCTACCCTGGCTGAACTCGTCGTAGCTGCGGAACCGTCGTGGCGCCGGCTCGCTGTAGTCGCCGTCGTAGTAGGTGTCCTGGTAAGAACGCCTGCTGCTGCGGGACATCGCGGTCGGATGTGCAGGACTGGCGCCCGGCGTGCTTCCGCCTCCAGACGTGCGGGAGTAACTCGCCGTTCTCGACCTAGGGGGTGTCTCGTAGCGGGTAAACCGGCTACTCGAATTTGACACCGCCACGCCGGAGTCGAAACTGCTACGCTCCCGCCTGGAAGGAATCCTTCAAATAACGGTTGTACTGTATTTTACATTCTCTGCTGTATACTATGATACGTATTGCTCGCGAATATGTAGTTGTCTACGAGGTACTCTTTCAAACAGTCTTTTTAGAATGTTTAGCAGTGCAAGTATTTGATAGGTTAGGTCTACACAGTTTAATGGTTAGCTGAAAATCATTGCAGCATTGTCAGTACTAATAGGGCTAACATATTTCACAAAATGATCTTCTGCATTTATCATCTTCTATAATATATTTTTGGAGGTTATGATGCCATGTTTTGGTAGATAGAGTAGAGTTGTGACTTAACTAGCTATGAGAATATTCAGAGATAAATGGATAATATACAACTGTATTGGTATATAAGTAAATTTGCATTTTTTAAATTGAAATGTAAGACAGTACGGTTGTAAACTTGCAATTTCCTTCTCTCAGAAGCTTTAAAGTTGACAGTTGTTCAAAATACATACATGCAGCATCACATTTTGCTCATTCGTATCACATGACAAGGAAATACAATATCATATAATTAAATTCTTCATATTATTCTATAATACTTGAACCTGTTATAGAACTAACCTTTAGATTCGCTTGCTAGCTTTTAAAGTATCCAAGAATGGAGTATATTAAACAGTATAAACAAAAATAGTAACTTGTATGCTAAATATTATGCATAATTTTTAGCAAATTAGAAAAGTTATGTTATTATTGATATGCCATATAATATATTACAATAACATTAAAAATTTAATGTCAATAAATGAATTATAGGTTCTTTCTATTAAATACAAAAGCATATAACAAGAATAATTTGAAATTGTTACAATTGTCACAAATTAGTCATAAGACTATAACAAGAAACATTTTGCTCCATTTAAGAAAATAAAATAGATCAGCTTATGAATTATGGAAACCATGATCTTCATAAATATCTTTTAAAAGTATTATTTAAATGAACTTGCTTTCTCTGTACAAATTTAGTAGGATTTTAAAAATAGATGATTCACTTAACATATTATCTTGCAATGATGCACTAAAACTGCACAAGTCTTGTTTAGATTACATTCCATAAATTATACAGACTTCTTAGAGTAGCTCTTTGAACGCAAAAAAAAACGTGAATAAAATGATGAAACAGATGCGAAATGCCACTTCACTGGAAATACGTGCAGTATCTTATTTTTGTCACAACTTGATAACACAGAGAACTTAATCCGTAACATGTATGGCGTCCTCGCTTCAGAAACATCTGCTAAACATTCCGGAAAAGTTTGTCGCATACCTCGCAAGACGTTCTATGTATTATAATAATTCAAAATTCTTCGTCAAAACATGTTTATGTACAAAGCATTTCGTTTATCTCGTCTACTTTAATATCATACCTTTGAAGATACAAGGAATTAAAATTCTTGATCAAATTACAGTCTTAACCCTCAAATGCTATCATTAAATCTATCACCCCAATGTCCTTTATCACATTTATGAAAAGTGAATGGGAGAAATAATCGACTTTATCTTGTTGCCACTGCTGCTGATATGTACAAGTACCCACAAAATCAGTATTGTCAGTGGTTACAGTTTTTAACTTCGCATAGGATAAAATTTCTCTTGTGGCAGTTTTTAGGGGGTAATTAACTTTCTTGTTATTAACAATTTTCTAGTTCTAATTATTCCAATTTCTAAGTCTTTAATCATCTTTCTATTTTATTTTTACAAACACTTAGAAAGCATATCACTACATTTAGATTATTTAATTAATTCTAATTTTTATTCGGGGGATACAGGAACTCTGATTGTACACACTTATTTATCTCCATCCACACTTTTAATTTTCAATTCCCAATGTGTTGACAAATGTTCAGAAATGTATATACATATGCTTAGAAAATGTACCACTAGTTTTGAATTATTTAATTAATACTGACTTCCATTCAGGAATTACAGGAATTCCAATTGTACATAATTATTTATCTTCATCTACACGTTTAATTTTCAATTCACAATGTGTACTACTTAGAGATGGGTATATAAATGCTTAGAAAATGTACCACTATTTTTGAATTATGTAATTAATACTGACTCTTCCATTCAGGGATTACAGGAACTCCAATAGTACATACTTATTTATCATCTACATTTTTAATTTCCCATTACCTATATGTACTATACATAGATAATGATAAAACATACATCTTATACTTTAATAATTATTATTATCTATGTATACCATATTTAGGTACACATTACAGGTTGGTAATTCTAGTACTAACTCAAATGACCTCTAATAACTTCAATATATTTTTCCAGATGAGATCTTTAAATCCAAGTGACCAAGATAAACGAAACACTCGGTACGTGTAATTACCAAGTTAAAACGGCCATTCTCAATAATTATTCAAACGTATGTGCACAGTATAATTCCACGAAGGAATCTTCACTGAAAAGTATACATACGAGACATCGAAGGTCGTCGCCGGAGAGGGCCTCGTATCCCAAGGTTTCTCACCGGCGATGCCCTGTCGCTCGAGGTGCTCGTAAAACGTTTCCTGGCATTCTCTGGAAGCAAAGTCCACCTGGAGCCGGCGACCACGAAGAGCAGCGCCCCTCATCTCCTTCACGGCGGCTTGGGCGCAGCTGATCTGCTCGAAGAAGACCAAAGCGTGTCCGCGTTCGCGATCCACGACGACCTGATTTATCGGTCCGAACTGATGGAACTGCATGTTCAGGTACTTTTCCGACATACAATCTGAAATGACGTTCAACATATGGTAATCTTATTAAGTCCCAACCGGAGTGTGTTTTCAACGCAATCGCATCTTAATTTTCCTTTGTAATTACTACAGCTAATTTTGGTACACGATTATCTGCAGCATGATTTACCAAAGAATATTTATAATGCGAGAGAAAATATCTGGAAATCGCCAGAATTAGATTTTTATATCATTTCTGGCAAGATGTGTTATATTTATTTTTACATTGGAAATAAGGCAAATTGCAAAAGTTGAAATTACTGTGAGTTTTATCTGATTATCTAGAAATGGGGTTGCTTTAATGACATTTGTAATAACTTCTTATAGCCAATTGCTAGACAGGATTGAGGAGTTCCACATTTCCTATTTCTGCATTTCCCAAAAACATGCAAGGGTATGTTTCATGTAACTACTCGTTATTTTATATATAAAATGAAGGATATGTACTCCTGAGAATATATATACATTAAAATGTAACATATGTATTAACCCTTTCACAATAGGCACACGTAACAGGAAGAAAATTCTGAGATCACATCGGTAAGGTTAGAAAATAATTCAACGTATATATAACGTTTACATTACGTTTGTCGGAGATAACGGACCGTGGTGGCGCTAGTGAGTTAGCCAGCCTTAAAACGTTAACTCGTGAAAGGGTCAAGAATACGTGCTCACGTGTACGTTATATACCAAGTAAGTACACAAAGTATATACACCTATTTACTTTCATTGTACCGTTTGAATGATATACAGCTCATATATACTCTCCTTATTCAAGTGCACATTACAGAGGTCGGTAGTTCTAGGTGGTAATAATTAAGTTTGAAACGATGAACGGAAGTGCAAATGGGGAATTCATTACAGCAGATGTAAGTTGAAATCCAGCCATAACGTCTTAGATGTATCTGTACGTTCATTATACAAACATACCGATAAATTTCGAATCGTTCCAAAAAGACCAGTCTAACCAGTCCCAAAGAGCTTAACACCCCCTCTACCCTCGAACAATTTCAATTATTAGCAATTTTGCTCGGATGGAAAAGTTATTCGGTGGTCTCGCGCTATAAAGTTTATAGTTTTATAGGCGGATTCTCGGTGAAATCGATACCGCTCTTTACGATAATTACCTCCAATACCGTCAACCCATACACAGGACGTGGGCATCGACTTTCCAAATCCGAGTTTTATTCGATTCGCACCCAGGTGTTCGCCGTCCATCGATCGCATAGCTTTGACGACGCTACCGATGTCCGAGTATTGGCAGAAGGCATAGCTCGACACCGCGCCTTGTTTCTTAATATCTATTTCCTGTAACACACGAGGACATTTAAACTTTCTGCTAACGTCGTTCACGATTTTTACGCAAGTTATTTGCTCGTTCGTCGGTTTCATTGAAGTTCTCTTATATCCGAGCATTTTCTTCTTCCTTTATGGCAATAAATCGAGAATTGAACATTACCATAGAGTTGTATGCACATTCGTATAGCGAGAAAACCGACCTTGGTAATAATTAAATCCTGCTTCTAAGAAACTAAAAAGAAAAATCAACGTTGGAAATTTTTTGAAAAAGATATTCCTTCTTTTTCAGCCTTCTCAAGGTACACTGTTGGAGATTCCAGGCACAGCTTTAAATAACTACAAAAGAAATGAAAAAGAGGAATCGATTTTAATGGAATATTGGACATCTTTTTAATTAAAAGTCTGGACTTTTCTCTATTTTTAAGTGAGTATAAAAATACTGCAAGCATTAATTTTATATTCCATATTTTTAAAGATACTCAGTGAACATCTAAACTGTATTCCAGGTATTTCATTCTTTTGGACAAGTATTATTTAATTTTTAATCGCCCTTGGAAAGGAGTTTCTTGGTGTCTCAACATCAAGTGACAAGAAAACATGTTACATCGCAAGGGTATTAACATAACGATTAGAATTTAAAAATTCTTTCTCAGACATTTCATGTCCGGTTCGAATGCTAATATCCGCCTTACTCGAATAACGAGTTCATGCGTCATAAACCTTGGCCGAATCTGATTCGAAAATTTTCCAACAAGTTCTTCTTTTTAGTCGCTTATAAGGCAAAGTCATTCGCAAGGCTCATTAATTATTACTAGTAAATAGAATCGTGAAAGTTGCTTCGAATGTGTATAACGCAGCTCTATCTGTAAGCTACCTTTAGGCTAAGTCTGAATCACGGGTGATACATGAACTACTAGAAGGGTACTAATGCAATTGCACACAACACGTGAAAAAGATGAGTATGCTGTTTGTTACAGAATTTCGTTTCGAGATGCGGATGTTGAATTTCTTACAAAATCAGAGTGATACAATTCTTATTCGTTCTCTTTGTCAATGAGAATGATTTCATCTTTCCTCCTCAAAACGTACACCTAAAATCACCAAGTGGAGATTCCCTGTTCCTTGCCCCTTTCCTTCAAATCACAATTCAAACGAGAGAAGAAGAATTCTGCAAATAGATACTCCAATGCTATCAATTCATCCAACTATCATAATCAATGTAGGGAATGAATTTAGCCTAAAGTTTGACTCGTGCTCACAGTATTACACCATTATTCTCAATCTATTAACTCCTCAAATGCTGGAAACGCATTCATCTGGCCTACAGATACACGTACACACAGTGAAATATCACCACCATAGACAACAAACAAATTTAAGAAAAAAACTCTGCTTATCCCTAGTATCAAGAGGACCAGGAGTATCTTGGAACAGTCACCAGACCAAGCCTTCTCTCACAATCACCAAATAATCCCCACCAAATCATCCTCATTACCATCTGCATCTTCCAAACAGACCTCCCTCTTCACCGACCCATCCTCATCATTTTCATCCTTCAGACAAACTTCTTCACCAAACCATTCTCATCATCTGCATCTCCCAAACAAACCATGAATCATCTCCACCGTCTGATCATCTGCATCATTTGCATCTTCCAAATAGACCTCTTCACCGACCCATCCTCACCATTTTCACCTCTCAGACAAACTTCTTCATCAAACCATTCTCATCATCTGCATCTCCCAAACAGACCACGAATCATCTCCATCAAGTCAATCTGATCATCTGCATCTCCAAAAAACAGACTTCTCCACCAAGTCAACCTCCTGATCATCCTCATCTCCAAGAATCAGACTTCTCCTCCACTAAGTCATCCTTATTATCAGCATCATCCAAACAGCCATCTCTAAAACAGACCTCTGCGGCAAATGGAATCCTCTGCATCGTCATGTGAACTTACTATTATCTCGCCGAAAGGCTCGAAGTGCTTCCTAAGCTCGGACGCGGTGACGTCCTTCTCAAGGTTGCCGATGAAGAGGGTCCGCGTGGCCTTCGGATGGTACTCGTCGACCTCGGCCTCGTACGGCCTGAACTCGTTGTCCTCGACATCGTAACCCTGATAAGGGGCGACCTCGATCTTGCATCCGAAAAACAGCTTGTCGTGGGACACCTCGAGCGCCTTCTCCACGTCCTCCGGCTTCTTGAAGCAGACCAGGGCGTACCGGTCACCGGCCGCCCCCACGACCTTCACCCACGTCACTTTTCCGTGCTTTTTGTACTCGTGGAACAGGCCGTCCTTGAGGGAAGTGTCGCTGCTGCGTGCCGGCAAATTACGCACGCAGATAGCGAGCGGCCTGCGGTCCTCGGTGACGGCGGCATTTCCGGTGCGATGTGGCGAACTACCGGGCGAAGTACTGCCCCCGGAAGTGCTGCCGGCGGAACTACCGCTGCGGCTGCTGCTGCTACTACCGGAACGGCTACTGCCACTCGGCGAGCTGCTTCCGCTTCGCGATTTTCTGCGCTGTTTTTTGTGCTGTCGTAGCGCACCGCTGCTACTGCTGCCGCCACCTCCACCGCCGCCTAGTGGAATAACACGACGAATGTAATCTACACATGATATATTGCCATCGTTATTCCCTTGTGTCACTGTTGCTCCTCGTTGGTTCATACTTAAAACTAAATTTTGCCATCTTCAACTGTTGACGTGTCTCTTTCCCATAGCGTGCACTGTATTGCGTGAGGTAATACAACATTTGTTATTTGTTCATCTTATTTTACTGTACTATGATCATTTAAAATTTATTGGCGATTAATAGCAGTAGGGATGTTCGATCTCACGTCAGCAGTTGAAGATCAAGGACCTCTACGGGATGAGAATAGCACGTAGTAGAACGTCGACTATGCGAATTTTGATTATATGAAATTGTTAGAATATCCGAGTGCACAGTGAGCAAAATATAGGGCGTTCGAGGAAGAAGGCACAGTGTGTTTACATCCTCACGGCTGATTAACTTCGCCGACACTTCCCATGATCACAGGCAGAGAGCGCTATTGACCGAAGATGGCGACGAAAATCATCGGGTCACCGTTTTTGGACAATAGGCTCCACTGCTTGTCATCAAGAGAGGATCAGCAGAGTAGATCAACCGTGAGGATGTAAACACGCTATGCCTTCCTTCCTCGAACGCGCAATACGTGCATATAAATTGAAAAATTGAGACTGATAGTGAATTAGAAAATTTTGTACGTAACGTAGCTAGGTCTGGAGACTATTGTAACACCATTTGTGGATAGGTATGGATGAAAATATGACGTAATTCAATTTGTCTTCCAATTAATTGTCAACGTTCTACTGTTTAGGAAAACACGTATGGAAACTAGTCTCATCGCGTAGAGGGTCCTTTATGCAGCTGATCAGAGCTGCGATGCTCATGCAACCATGAACCATGCACCATGCACCACCCCTAATTCGTATTCCAGTTTTGCAGGGACGTGATTACACGTAAGCGTTCCTCTTTCTTGGCTTCCTTTTTTCCCTCGATTTTAATTAACGTTATTAAAAGGATTGTCATGCTTTGGATTATGCGGTGTTAGCGTTAACGAGCTGCTCTGGAACGCGAGCGTGTAAGAGTGCCCCTGTTTCGAGCGCAGCGTCGCGGTTCCCGCGCGAAAAGCGTGGCCAAGCGTGTACTGAAAAGCTGAGACGAGATCGGTATCGTGTGATCACATTGTGGAGAATGGAATTTAACCCTTTGCAATCTCGACGTACTACTTCGTTCGAGTTTACACTAATTTTTATACGCGAAACTGGACGTGTCTTAATTTAATTCGACGAAAGTACGTTTATGTGTACATGCATTATTTTCCGATCAAACTTTAAGTGGCGTTTCCAAGTGTGTTCTGTATTGTGAACCAGTTGGGATGAAGAGTCGAGTCCGATTTGGACTGCAAAGGTTAATCATGGTAGTGAATTTTTAAATGCAGATTATAGATAGCAGACTCCTCCATCTGTTGGATCGATTAGCTCCTGAAAACAGGAAGCATCGATTAGGTGCTTTGAGACTACAATTTAATCATTTTACATCCACTGTTGGGATTCTGTGCCATGGCGTTTAAAGTTGAAGTTTCCTCTTTTAATTAACATTATTTTGTCAATTAAACATAACCTATGTGCATAAATAAGAAGCTTTACTTCTATTTTTATTAACCGATTTAGTATCAGGGATTCAAAGAATTTTAGAAATTCTTGATGGATAGTGCCATGCGGTGTGACAGCGCAGCCTTCATTTGACTGCAAGTAATAGTTACTAGGCATAGTAATAGTTATTGGGCATAGTAATATTTACTAGACACAGTAATAGTTACTAGGCACAGTAATAGTTACTAGGCACAGTATTAGTTACTAGGCACAGTAATAGTTACTAGGCACAGTAATAGTTACTAGGCATAGTACTAGTTACTTTAATAAAAGTAAATGAACTAAAGCTTCTTATTTATGCACATGGTTTAGATTCAATTGAGAAAGAATAGTAATTAAAAGAGGAAATTATCATATGACTGACTTGGAATCGAGCCGTGAACTAAATGCCATGGCACATTTCAGCACAGCACCTTAACAGAGGGATCACGTTGTATGGCACTATAAGGTAAAAGCAACTAGGGTGTCTCAAAATTCACGCAGGATTTGAAGTTTGCGCCACTTGTGCGACAAAATGCTGCCAACGAAAAGAAAGAGACAGCGTGACAGTTGACAGTTCAGGATTACTGAAAATGGAGTGCTACGCGGAAGAGCAACGCGTCTTCACTGCTGACCAATTTTTACAATTTTTAATTCAAAAATGTTTTCTATCAAAATACACCTCGCGTGAATTTTGCGACACCCCTTATTACTATGCCTAGTAACTATTACTCGCTGTCAAAGAATGTAAGCGCAATCCGACGAGAATTTTGAAAAATCTCTGACACTGGAACGGTTAAACGAGTACGAAATATGGCGTTAATCAATTTGGCCCGTGAGCTGCTCATCTATAACACGACAGACAGTTCCGATAAATGTCACTCCGAGCTAAGACACGTCCCCGTGTGATCCATAAATACCCGTGCGCGCGTTTATCGAGGATTTAATAATAAACGGCTATCTAAAACACGATTAATTATCTCGTGAAGTGAAAAAAGAGCGTAAAACGAGTTGGGAATCCTGCCGGACCACGCTAGTCACGTGTCCTGGCGCGAGCAACCGCGCGCAGTTCTCCGCGTGTGCCCGCAGTCGCATGGAAACGCGGCCGCAAAAGGACCTGGCGCGTACGAAGAGCGCAGCAAGCGTGGCGAAAGAAGGAGAACAGAAAGAAGAAGCGCGGAGAGTGCACCTGCAGCAGAGGTGGACCCGTGGACGCAGACGCGGACGCAGACGCAAAAGCTGGAAGCGAAGGTGTGCACGCGAGCACCGACATCAGCAAAAGAGAGGTGGCTGTCGGTGCATCGGTACGTATAAGGGCAATTACCTTGCTCGTCCTGGTAGGCGTCGTTGTTGGCAGGCGAGGGTGGCGGCGGTGCGTTCCCGTACCTCGAGGTCGTCGACTCGTAGGCCGACCAAGAGGACGGCGGCAGGCTACCACGATGACGATCTAAGTGGGGCGGGGGCGGCGGCCCGGAGGCGTACGGTCCGGTTCTCGAGTAGAGCCGATCCCTCGCCCTGGTCGATGTCACGTGGTAAGAGCTGGCAGGAGGTGGACGGCCGCGGGGTATGTAGCCGACAGGATCACCGGGAGAAGGATCCGCCGGATGGCCGCCAACGACGACGCCACCGCCGCCGCCGCCGACGCCACCGACACCACCCCCGGATCCGACCCCTCGACTGCTTCGCTCGCTGCTGTAGAAACTGCCGTGGGAGCCACGTGACTCGAAGCCCTCGCCGCCTCTCTCTCGGTCTCTGTCCCTCTCTCGCTCCCTCTCCCGGTCCCTCTCCCTCTCCCGGTCCCTCTCTCTCTCCCGGTCTCTATCCCGGTCCCTGTCACGATCCCTGTCTCGCTCTCGGTCCCTCTCCCTCTCCCTCTCTCTCTCCCTCTCGCGGTCCCTCTCTCTGTCGTTAACGCTGCCACTGCCACCGCCACTGCCGCCACCGCTACTGCCGCCGCCGCCGCCGCCGCTGCCGATTCCGCTTCCGACGCCACTGCCTCCGTTAGCGGCTCCTCCGCCGCTGCCGCCGCCGCTGCTGCCACCGCCGCCGCCGCCGCTGACTCCGCTGCCAACGCTGCCACTGACGATGCCGGAACCGCCACCGCCGCCGCCTCCGACTCCGCTGACTCCTCCCCCGCTACCCCCGCCGGATCCATGATCCTCCGAACTTCTGCAACACGCCACGGTTTCGGTTAAAGTCTTCCACGGAAAGGTGCCATGGTATCGTGGGCTCTGCACAGGGGGTTTCGCGCGAGAAGAAGGTAATTAGGACAGGGTTGTCGCTTGGGGCTTCATGCGTGTGAGATTCGAGTATTCGCGTTTCCAGCGGGACGCGTGATGATGCTGTTGTCGCGCTTCGACGACGTGTAATGCAATTATCGGGGTGCGTTTTGGTGTCGGTGATGGGATACCATTTGGTTTTTCATCGAGAAATTTCAAATAAGTTGGAATGAGTTTCGTGATTGAGGTTATGGTTGCTACTTTTTGACGTGGCTTATGGGTGGTGGTATATTGTTATGTTGAAGATATGTTGTTCGCCATTTCGTATTCTTTTCTATGTATTTAATAATAATATTGTTGACTATGTTTGGTTTAGCTTTATTTTTGCTATGAGAAGGCAAATAAACTAACCTCTTTCTTTAGGAAGAATTTGTGCACTGTCGGTATCGCCTAGGTGGCGCCAGTGATGTATACGAGTTAAATGTATACGTATAATTTGTTAATAATATATAGTAACAATGTTGTAATATTATAAAGTTATTATATTGTATGTTACTATAAATGACAAATGAAATAAAAATTGGAAGACAAATTGTTATTAACGTATGATTTTCTCTTAGGGATTTTAGTCGTGTAATACTTTGTTCTATCGCTATAGTAAACTATGGTGACTAATACGGGTACCAAATATTTATAGGACGCAAATATGACTACTTCCTTGTTCAACGCGATTGTAAATTATTTCATGCTTCATAAACTCATCCTAATGACACAAAACCGAAACTGTACAAGGAATTTGAACTGAAACTCCCTCTAGATCTTTCCGCGCTAGTGACATCAATCATATCCCTGACACTTCTCGCACCAGGTGAATATTATCCCATGAAATTTGCGTAACCGTTGATCGCTTCGTTTCCTAATGTCAATATGTTTCAAACTTGGAAACTGAACGTCAATCTTAATGCTATTGAATTTGGAAGAAAAAACACTAGATATTATTTATTGTAAAAAAAGAAAGAAATATTATTTCCTGTATCTCCTTCTAATCATTTTTTAATTATCTAATATATAATAATTTCTCCAATTCTATATTCTAATTCTAGTACTTCTAATAATTCTAGTAATTTTAGTAACTTTAGTATTTCTAGTTACTTATTATATTCTAATTGCTTCTACTAGTACTATAATGTTTCAGTGTCCTGGATTATATTTCGTACCTATTTCATATACCGTTAATAAACAATAAATTATAGTAAACCTATAGATATTAGTAGAAAGGCGTTACTGTAAATAGTAAAAGAAAAAGAAACGAAGGAATGTTTTATCTCTTTCCCCACATAAGCGATGATCTGATTTCGGTTCCATTAAAAAGATACCTTTTTCTAGAAAAGAATCGTGATACATCTTTATTTCATTTTTGCAGCAATTGCAAAATTTCCTTTTCGAATAACTGTACCCCCATTGTGGAAAATCCAATACCATAGAAATTCTAACGGGAACGTAACACGAAGTGTATTTTGATTAAACGAACAGTCTGTAACGTGTAATTACTGCAGCAAATTTCTTATAAATAATGAATTACACTATGCAATTGTAATGCTTAAATTGCTGAATAAAAAATTACTTTTTCACCACTAGAGCATGTAAATTCCTTGCTAAATACGGTAGCGAACCCTCTAAATGTTAGTCCAATTTATTTCAACTTTCAAGGCTGTCACGAGATGGAGCTAAAATCGCAAAAACTAACTCCGCTTATTTTTCTGTTTATCCTGAAAATCATCACTTCTGGCTCTTACATCATTCACAGTTTCTGGGACTTTCTGGGGCACAAATAAAGAATATTCAATTTTCCCCTAATTTACAAAAATTCCAACTCATATTATCTTCCCAAAAATCATTTAATAAAAAAAGAATTACAAATGCAACCAATTCCCAAAAATCATACTGCAATAAAAATAAAAAATATTCAATTTCCCTATACATTTACCAAAATTCAAACTAGCAATATTTTCCCATAAATCATCTCATAAAACGCCAAATAAATAATCAATTACAAACAAAACGAATTCCCTAAAATAATTTTCCCTAGAACAATTTCTCTATACACTCATAAATTCCAGCTCATGCTACTTTCCTATCCACAAACTATATTCTAAAACAAACCAATTACCAATAGAACAAATTGCCTCAAATTATGAAACAGAAATAAGGAGTGTTCAATTTGCCTGCATATATAAAAATTCAAACTCCCGCCATTTTCGCAGAAATCATAACCTCAACGATCAAACAGAGATTCTCCGACAGCGATTCCCTAAAATTGCAGATCTGCTGAAAAGTTCATCAAGGATATAACACGCGACCTGTATCAGCAGCTCGTTCTCTCGGTCTAAAAAACTCGCAACTGCTGCTTTAAACGCTAGCACAGCTCTTCCTACATCTTTATCGGTCCGGTCATACTCATCGGGGTCAAAGTTCGAAAACGTGGCTCGTTATCACGGCTGCGTTGAAGTTCGTCGTGTATCTTACGCTCGTGCTCGAATGTGTTCCGCTGTGTGCACGTGCACATAGGTGGGCCGTAGTATGGCGTTCGAGACGTTAACGACATGCACGAAGCGTAATCGCGGCGAAGAATCAGCGGCCTTTCTCCCGACGCCTCCTCACGTTCATTCCGTTACCATACGGTCACCGGTGCGCTTATCTCCCACCTTCGCGAGAAACTTCGACCTGAATCTCTTTAAAGGCTGCATTACGCGTGGCCGTTTCTCGTTTCTCGAACGATCTTGTTTGCCTGCGAGAGGAACCAGGACGTTGCCATGCGAACCACCGCCACTGCTGGCTGCGCCAGTGAAATTTTCCGTTACCCAGACGACACCCTTTTTCTTTTCCTCTTATTTTTTATTTATACTCGCTTATTTCTACGTTTGCCTCTCTTTCTTCGTTCTTTCTCTTCCCCTCTTTATCTTATTCGGACCGTCTCTGTTCGATCGAACGGGAACCCTTTATTTCGGCTATCGGATATCTCGTATAGGTTAGGAACACAAATTGCTGCGGCTTTCTGCAAATTATGTTTAGACGTGGTTTAATTGTCGTGGAAATTCATTCGTAGTTTGTTTGTAAAACAGGATTATTTACGTATCGATTGAAAAAGTAACGGAATAAAGTAATAAAGTATGTAGAATGTAACTTAACCACAAAGCAGTGTCGATATTTTTTGGATAAAATAGTTAGTGTTAGTTTTGATATGAAAAACAATTCCGTTGATTTTCGTTTGCAAGTTCTTAATATTCTAAGAGTAATTGTGGAATTCTAAATTACTTGACGTTTTATTTGACATGTTAAGGCGCGACTTTGCACTGAAGAACGTGAGCGCCATCTATTGCAAGAATCCGATACTACTTATTGGCCAATTTAATAATAGTAATATGATTTACAATGTAATACAGGGCGGTATTATGAAATTTTATTAATACTACATGTTTTCTTTTTACAATACTAATTTATTTACTGCCCAGAAAAGATTATGTTATAGAGGATGTACATACTCTTGGAAGCCATTTTATGCACATAGTTTCATTCATTGTATATCTTTATCGTTAATTTATATTTGCCAGAGCCATGTTTTTACATTTTATTCTTAATTTTAAATTATAGTATACTTTAGTTCTATCGCAATAACTTATATTCTTTCATGAAAATAATTTTATAATTTCGTACATTTATGATTAAAACTTTTATTTAATCAACGTTTTCAACGCTCTTGCAACATCGACGATGTGCAATCGGTTCATTGTAGTTGTAATCGTTTGCGGAAAAAACACTATGTGCACAAATAAACCAACTGGTCCACCTTGAGCAATCTAACCTAAATGTATTTCATAAGATTTCTTACAAAGTCAATACAAGCGATGGTGAAATTTTATAATATCGAAATCGTTACATGCGATATAACCAACAAAATGAAAGTTAAAGAAAGCAGAAAAGAATTATATACAAATAATAAAAAATAAAATATACCATTGTTATTTAAAACTCATTTGCTACTCTGCAATTTCGTTATTAACATTAATTTCGTTTCTTCTTTAATAAAACAAAACTTCCAGCAGTGAATATTACCTATTAATTTTCAACAAAGTCCCTAGAATCAATTTACTAGCATCCTCTATACTTCTTTCATCACCTATGAACATTTCTTGCTTCTCACAATAAGACGTTTCATATTAAAAAATTTAATATATTAATTTAATATTTTAATAATCGATAATTAATCAAATTAAAATTCAGCGCGTTTCATTATTATTAAATCTACATATAATAGTAGCGTATAAAATTAGTAAGTCTTCGAAATGGAAAAAGAAGAGGAATAAAACTCTTTTATTCTCCATGAATAACGCAGATTTATTTGCGGAATAAAAATTGATGGAATTAATTAATGCAGGTAGTCGTACCTAACCTCAAAACGGGGGAAAAAAGTACCACGAGTTCCTCTCGTTGGGAGCAAAAAATTTCTAACAGATGTTTACAAAGATGGGAGAGATAAGGTGAATCGACGACGATCGTTTAATTGTCGCGTAATCTCACTCCGGATAGCAATACTTTCCGTAACACGTAAACAAGCTTAAACGCAGCACAACGTTTAATGGCGTTTTCGTGACACGAAGATCGAGGATAAACTTCGTATCCTTTCGTTCGACCTCGCGCCTGAGAAACGGCGATGGACTTTTTTTGTTCGAGGGAACGAGGGAAAGAAGTGGGGGAAGAAGTGTACGATCAGTGTAGAAAAACATCTGCAAGCAAACGCAAGTCATCGGTTCGCGTACGAAGGACAAAACGATATACGGTATCAGTCACGCGACCGATGGTAATTCGATATCGTCGACGTGGATTGCGCAGAAGAAACACGCGTCTTCGAAAAAGTCCACTCTCGCCGACGAACCGACCGTTGTTCAGGATTACTTCGGTTTATCGATTCGACCTCTTTATTTAGAAGTTCGCGCTCGAACAGTCGCAGATAAAGCGAAGGGAAAAGGGAGGGAAGGAATCTTGCATCATCGTAAACTTATTAAGATTAACGTCTGTGCCAAACGTGATAATGTCATTGCTATCGATTCGAGCGGGGCTTATCGCAGATAAGGGGCTGGAAAAAAATTTCTACACGGCAATTTTCGTTCGTAATGTTATTAAGCCTCTATACGTGATATAAAACCGATAGATACGAGGTATTTTTTGTCACACGCGAAGCGAGACGCGTGCAATCGTAGGATTAATCTGTATGTCGTTTACTTTCTTCCTGTCAACTGTACATGCGAAGTTTTCTGCATATCAATGTTTACCCTCGGAAAGCACAACGCTGTTTCTTTGTTATGACGGACAACGTGTTTGATTTCCTAGAATCCCGCGTTCAATTTTGTCATAAAATGCTAGTTGGCATGTGCGGTATGGCTGCCGATAAGATATTTTCAGGGTCGTATTAATGTGTTTATGTACGTTCACTGATAGTGGAGACAGTGAAATTAGTAATTCCACACGAAGTAGTTTCGTGTTGCTTATTACTAAACTCACGCTTCACGGGCCGCGTGTAACGATTAATGGGAATGCAATATTGGCAACACTGATACAGATGTCGTTGTCGGCGGCTTAATTGGGCCAATCAAATTTTTCCTGTATAACGATCAGCTCATTAAAACGGGGCAGATCAAAAAGAAATTACACCACGCACTTTATTCCTGTATGCACACCCATATAAATGACTCATATGCAAATTGTAAACCTCGTTATCAATTCGTAGACCTTAAACAATGATGACATCATTAAGACGATACTACTGCCACTTCTATTTATTCGGTAATTGTCACAATAAGCTGACTAATTAAATACCTATTTAATAAACATCAAAGAAAGGTCGGAATATTGTTTCCATGTATGGTTCATGCCTGGTGTGCAATCTTCGTCGGCACTGATATCTAAAATATTTTTTAACCTAGTGTTACGTTCCTCATTTTTGAATAATTATGTAATATAACATTCGTATATGGACCTACGTATACAAGCCAACAATTTATAAAATAATAAAATTGTTATCATCAAAAGTTTTTATTTAACACATGCCTTTTTCTAAAAATGATCAAAAGTTCCCAAGTGTTTTAATATTTATTGTATCGAGTTCAATTAAAATGTATAATCACATATCACTGTATAGTCATTTTCTCTTTTATAATCGCATTACTTCAAATGTAAATAAAAATTGACGCCACAATAACATTCTAAATTATACTTCGATTGTGAAAAAATATAATAGTTTTCAATCGAATATAAGTTCCTATTTTCAAAACAATTGCTATTCTTTCGACTCACAGGGTTCGTGGTCTTCGTACTACGTTACTGACAGTCGAAGCAGTCTCCCCTCCGTCTCGGTTCACAGCCACTCGCGCGTTAATGCGCGCGCGCAGCTCCTCGGACGTGGCAACATCGCGAACGACCACGTCGTCACGGTCACCTGACTTTTCGTGGAAACGCGACGCTGCCGTGCTCGCGGATAAGGTATGCGACGAATGTTGGTAGAGCACATTGCCTATATTTTGCTCTCAAGAGTCTCGATAGAACGGTGAATTCGAGAATACAAAGGTTCAATGAAAGAGGCAAACGGGGACACAAAAAGCTCTACCTCTCTGTTCACGGACGACCAACGGAGAAAGTACGAAATCTTTTTCTTGCAATGCCGTACGCAGTAACGTGATTCTTCGAGGGCTGAGACGCGCACGGCGACCGGAATAGCCGGGACACGCCGTATATATCACGTGGCCTGGTAAAACAAGTGCGTGGCAGAAACGTTTTGACGAGTGGCACCGTCGTGAATATGGATTACGATCGAAACGCGTCAATGTGCCAGCGAACAATAATACGATAGCTGGTCTCCGTTGATCGATTATCGGTCGGTTTATTTCCACGAACGCGATATTTCGTGTCGTGTGCGACTGTGGTTCGTGACGACCGATATCGGCATAATTGTATTATACGTGGTATTGTACGCTAGTCGCTGAGAAACATGAATACAATCAGCTATACTAAAAACCAGGCAGAAAATACAAGCTTCGCCGATATTATATTAAAGCGTTAATTAGGTTATGGCTGCGGACGCCGGTAAATTGTTCTCCTTCTCGGTAGCGAAAATTGTTGAAGCGAGTTTGTTGCACCGTTTCGAAGGTGAACACAGCGAATATATATGCACACACATAGAAACTCGAGGCCATTTCAAGAATTCCACTGATTTATGAAACTCATTATTAAACGAACGAGATAAATTTTATCGCGCTCCTTCCTTTGTCCTTTGCTAGTTTAATGCGTGTCCACGACGGCTCGTTTCAATTTCATTCAAATTCATTCCGTACGCGTGTGAGTATACCTTGCAAGTGGTACTAAAAGCGGGAGAATATTTTATTGAATTATTAAAAATGTTCGATTCGGCTCGCTACGTGGCGTGACGGAACGTCAATAAGGTCCCTCCATGTTGGAAAATGAATGCAAGGACAATTCAGGAAATTAAACTCTCTATCGATTATAGACGTTTAACGGTATTTCTTGTCTTCTACTGTAAAAGTGTTAAGTAAGTTTCACTCAAAATTTTCACAAATCTTTCATTATTACCACAATAACTCTCTATGGAAATTATTGATTAAACTTTTATCAAAAATTTTCTTTCTTTAGGATACATAACCTAATTCGATGTCCTATGATTATTATTCAAAATTCAATTACTGTGATTTATAACTAAAATTTCAAAAGAAATAAATGATAAAATCAAGGCAAATGGTATACTTTCTAAGTTTTTCGATTAAAGAAATTGCTGACATGCGTCACTGGCATTCTAGTCGAAATAAAAGTGAACATTATAAAACACAACGTGATGTCAACCTTGACCGTAACATTGCAAGAGGTTAAGATACGACAATATTCTTGTAGAATTGCTATTTCCATTGCTGTGTCCAATTTTCAAGTAGATCTATAAACGTTGCAGAAGGAGCTTGAAGAGAATTATATAAATGATCTACACGTGGAACGTTGATAGTCAATAAACTCACGCACCTGAGAATTCGTGTTTCTTACAGTCGATATATTTAATCACTTCTCGATAATACAGCGATCTCATAGCAATCTAATATTTGTATTCAGTACAAAGAGATAAGAGAAATTTCCAGTCAGTCCTATTTGATTAAAATTTTTATCATTTTTCATCTAGTTCCTTTATATTTTTCAAACAATAATATCCAATGCATCTTTTCAAATAAGAAGCTTTTATAATATAATAAAAGTTATGAAGAAGCATATGAAGCTAATAATAATTCCATTTCATGATAATTTCTTATCTTTTTCTAAAATTCAGCTGTACCAAACATTCACAGCTATATTACATATATAGTTACCTGAAGTAAATAATGATTCTCTCTTAAGTAATAATTCTGTTACTTCATTTTTTGTAACATTAAGGTATTTACAATCTCATTTTGATTTTACAAATTCCATTTCTTCTTTTATATGTTAAAAATCTGATACCTTCAATGCATTTTTTACAGCATTATTATTTTACAAAGACATACAGAGATATATCTAATATTTTAGCAGTTTATGGTTTGATACACTATGTTTCACTGCGTTATGCAAGGTATTACATAAAACTATATATATGCAAAAGATGATTGTATATATTGATAAATGAACACGGCAACAACGCATAAATCCAACAATAGTAGCAAGCCACAAAATGAAGGGATGCGGCGCGAGATTAGAATGGACACAGAATTGTAATGAATACGCGCAGACTGTACGTGAATTTTGTTAGGAGAAAGAGATAATGGAACAGCCGTTCGTCCGTAACGACATTTCAATGTCGTTTTACCTGCTTCCTGTGACGTGCGATTTAATTAATTCTCGTGACGTGACTCATCGCAAAAACCAACATTTATATGTGTCATTTTAACAGCCAAAATATTCAATTGTTTTAACTTCGTACTTTTTGCAATTCAAACAGAAATGCAGGCTTAGACCTTTATGTAGAACGTATACTTTTACATTTTATAACGCAAGCAAATAGCGCAACACGATATATGATTCAAATTAATATTTATGCTGCATTTGGACAGGCCATAATATATGGGAAAGTTCAACAAACATGCTACATTTATGATGGTATTAAAATAGTTAATATTTATGAGATCTACGGAATGGCCTTTCCTTCATTTTGTTCGCTGCTATAACCATTGGTTATTAGCTTAGGTTCAATGGAAAAAGATATATATATATATATATAATGATGAGCTAGACAATATGCTAGTTTCTTAGTTTCATTAAGGATATCATTTTCACTGTAATTTCTCCTAATTCATTACAAATAACACGTGTATAACAACCCACAAATGACTAAAAGAAATTAACCTTAAATAATTCACAATACCAATTATAATCAAACATAAATACTAGTTCAAAGATCATGATGGAGAGTACAATAACCTAAGAATGCAAAAATAAGAACTGCTACTTGTTAAATACTAGTTCAGAGTATGTTAACTACATTCACACAATAAAGACCTAACACCATCTATACCATAACTGGAATTTTGTTTGTTTTCCAGGAAAAAATTACCACTACTGAGTTGAAAACTATATTATAAAGAATTGTGAAGGGTTGATTCATTTTAGATAAAATGATGTGAAACTCACCCGTGCGAGGGAAACCTGTGCTGAAGATGCTGTGGTTCGTAGTACTGTGTGGTAAGGGCTCGTTCGTCCAGGGTATGCTCAGTCGCGTGGGCCTTCGCTGCGGACTTGATATCCATGAACGCCACCGTCGCGGAGGCACCCCCGGTGCTGCCTGAGGAACCGCTGCCCCCGCCACTACCACCGCTGCCAGAACTGGAACCGGAACCACCCTCGTTACCTTCTCCGAGGGAACCACCGGAACCTCCATCCACGGGGCACTCTTCGCCCCGCGGCAGCAGCTTGACGCTCTGCACGCGTCCATACCTGCATACAAACATTTAAGATAACGTTATTTATTTAGTCAGTGACAGCCATTTTGATTGCGAAATTTAAACGAAAATATCATATACCAAGAATTCGGATAAGTTTTGCTAGTATGAGCTTAAAAGTAGAACCTAACTTTCAAGCGTGATGAAATACGATGAAATACGTTTTAGTAACGGTATATCTGCTTTGACATTAAATAGAAAAGTAAACATTTCATTTCGGGAAAATTGTATTTTGAGAAACATTGTACTGTAGATATAGTTTTAACGATATAGCAACGTTTGTACAGTTTGTGACCACAGCTGATACTAAAGAGAGGTTAGAGAGGTTAGATCAACCGTGGATGTAAAGATGTATAGAAGTGCTACAAGTTTAGGTATTAAAGTGCAATTCGCGAATGTATCGATAATACGAGTTTTTACAAACATTGTAGTTTCTAAAATATGACACTATTGTACGGTAATTACGACAATAGCACAAAAGAGATTTTTATTAGGATCGTTTAAGATTTCGAAGAAAAGATACGATTGCTCGTAATCCTCTGTCCCTAGAAAGCTCTTCCTTTCTCCCTCGATACCTGACGCGAGCACAGGAAATTAAGTCGTGGAAAGAGAAAGAAAGGTAAATATGATAAGAATGGCGAGATGAAAAGAAACTAAAATCAAAGAGTCTCCTCTCGCAACATTTAGAGATCTGCATGGGTAAAAAGTCTTTGCGGATGTTTTGTCGAATTGTTCGGGTCAAGCAGCTTGACCTACAAGGCGATACACGTTGAAGCCAGCGAAAAAGTAAAAACATGTCGAATTCGTAAGTACAGTTTTACATAAACACCAATTTTCTTTAATAACTGAAATTCACGATACACGGCGCGTCCGAATTCAACACAATTGCATAACGGCAAAATTATGGATAACTGCAAAGGAGTTTCGAGGTTAGGTTATATTTTCCACCGAATTCGATACACGAATATATTTATTTTGAAAAATAACAGGATACACATCGTGTATTTTAGATAATCGCAATTTCGAATCAGTAGGCTTAAAGAAACCGCGTTTTGTTTTCACCTTATAGAGAACGGAGATATTGAATTTCGGCGAAATTAAAGAAAACAAAGAGCCAAAGTTGTTTCTGGCACACCCTATGTACAGAAAAGCTCGACAGTAGTAGAAACGGACTTACTAGGTGAGGTAGGGTAACTGGTGAAGAGTGGGGAGACGAGCATCTTGATAGGTCGATCCAGAGAAGAATATTACGCGCAAGCGCAAAGACTCCAACGGTTTCGGAGTATCTCGGGGAGTTGTTCGTCTAATCTCGCGTGAGTCGCACGTATTTCCTTGTGCGTTCTTCCGAAGAAAGCCTTTGTTTTTTTCTCCCGGACCATACACGCAGCTTCTACTACTTGTATCAACGGAAAATGCATATCACAATAATCCGTTGTTTGTTCTTCACGCTCATAGGCGTCAGTAATAACGCGAGAGAGAAAATGCGCGAGAATTGAGCGGCACATCTTGGACACTATAGTTCGTTTGGATTAACTGCGCAAAGTATTTACTAGACCGTTACGAAATCGAGGAACGGTGAATATATATTTTTCCGAACGGAAATACCAAAGGACTCTGATTTTTCGTACTATCCGAGCACTTTTTATATCGTGATAATGTCGGATCGTTTCGAATGGGGCGTGGTCGGTCACTCTTCCATATGCGTGTGATTCGACGGCGAGAAAAGGGCATGCGACGAACATTTTATATAACGGATTTTTATCATTCTTATTTTAAACGTTTCGAAAATTCGTTCGACGTGTTTGTACAGGTTGAATCGTGTGTAATAAAAAAGGTTACTTCGCTTCAGGACTTGTAAAAATGATCTCTGAATCGTCAGGGACTAATTTCCGGATTTATTTCAATTTTCATATGGAGAAAATAAAGGTGGAAGAGAAACTAGTAAAAAATGAGTTCTCTAGTATAGCAACGTACACGTTTGGAAGATTGTTCTTACAAAATGGCAGCCGCAGAGCAGCGAGGTGCCGCTTGCAAACGACCCTCGGGGACTAGTCATTCCTATCCCATATTTCGCGTATCCATTCTTTAAAATGTAATAGCGATCGATAATAAACGTTCTTCCTATGGATATTCGCGAATTATTTAACGGTGTGATGTGTGGAGTGTTATTTCGAAATTTCGTTTCTTCGTCGCAGTATCAAACGAATCGTTATGGGTGCAATTCTATTGACAATAAAGTGGACAGAAAGAAAGAGAAACGTATCAGTGAATATAAGCGAGAAAGAAGGATCGATACATTAATTCGCAATATCATTATCGGGCGTCATTCTGCGTGACATTTTACGAAAGAGAACCGATCGCGGTCTGTGCGTCGTGTCTGCAAGACTTCCATCCCACCCAGTTACATTCGGTTCCCCCTCTTGTTTTCTTCTCCTACACATTCTCGCGCAAGAAACGGATGCGCGCGCATGTATGCGCACACAATCGCGAGAAGCAGCACTGAAAAGTCCCTCTCGCGCGCGCACGCACACCACGGTAAACGTCCTTTTCTTTGACACACATGAGTGAAAGCGGGTGAGAGGGGAGTGACGAGAGGAGAAGAAATAAGATAGAAGGCCAGAGGAGGAGGAAGGGGGAGAAGCAAGTGCCACGGTGGCTGGCTGGCTGGCTGGCTGGCTGGCTAGCGAGCCGCAAACCGTATCCATATTCTCCTCCAGAATCCCCGCTCGCGTTGTGCTTGTCGAGGAATTTTACTTCGGCAGACTCGCTCCCAGTCTCGATTCCTCCGTTTCTTCTCTCCGTTGCTGCCGAAGTATGGCGAGAGTTCTATGTGAAAACATTAGCATGACTTTCCATAAATTTCAAGTCTCTAGGTCAGAGTCATATTTTCCGTTAATATCGATATGGTACACACGACTCTGGAAAACACCGATAAACCATATCTGACTAAAGATATTCGAACAGGTCTACGAATGGAATATACGTATCCACCGTGCTCAGGGAAATAGTGATAAATCTGTAGAATGCTCGCAGTGTGTGATGTTCTTCGATTGTCCAATTACAAATGGCGATGAAAAGTCCTATTTTTATTAATTATGGTGAAACTTTCTGGCATCGAGATTTCTTCGATCGAGGATAATTTAGAGAGGATAATATCGTTATTCGTAGACGTACAAGTGCTTCGTCACGTGTATGTTGAGAAACAAGGCACCTTTGAGAAACTGAATCTCATGATCCAGCGTAGTGGCATCTATCTACTCGGACGATCGTTTGTCTTTCTACGTTTGAAATGGGAGACGTACAGGAAATCAATACATCGGCCCACGGTTAAGAGTCCTAGGTTCTGTGTATGTGTGTGTGTACGCGTGAGCATGAAAGAAAAAGAGAAAAGACGTCGGAAAAATTCTCCGTTTATACAAATCAATTAATGTGTTAGAATACATTTTATTCGTCACCTGCTACGTGTCGCAAAAAAGAAAAAAAAAGCAAAAAAAAAATGGAGGGACAAGCCATTTTCTTAACTCGCAGGATCCCATAACGTTCGTTGATCACGAACTTTCATCGCTGGAAATTCAGCGTGAACGCCCTGTGTTACGTAAACGTCGCCTTAAAATTTACTATACGTTGGTAACATGTAATATACTCTCTTCGCGTTCCACACGCATATGAGACTTAATTTATCAATAAACAATAAGTATTTTCGTAAATAACCAGAAAGTTAGTATAGGGAATATACGGTGGAAGAAAAGCAGGTCTATAGGTAGGAATTCTTTATATTTCGCCAGATCTCGGAATTCCAAGCTCCATGAGTGTGTCGATCTAACAATACACAGAGGTTCTACGATTCCACGAAGAACGGCACGAATAAAAAGGAATACAATGCAGAACGACCACTACAGGATAACAACAAAGAAAGAAGGCTTTTGTTCCTCGACTTTTTCCCGTTCCCCTTCTTACCTCCTCGTGATTCTGCCTTGGGTCTAACCGAATCGAATAAAAAAGCTACCACTACTACTACTATTGCGAACATGTGGTATCTCGTCGGAAATTTCTCTGAGAGATTAAAATCTACTAATTGCTAAAAATTATAAATTCAATTTAAACTATCACCTCTATTTCTTCATTATTCTAAATTCGTTCTACGGACAAACGAATCTTTATTTGATATACGCATAATGCAGAGTACAAAGTCATATAAAGAGCATATAGAATATGTTACTAGATGTTACTAGATCAAAGATTAAAATAAACGAAAGAACGGTAGGCGAACGTTAAGCACGGAGTCGTTGGCGACTAAACTCGAGCGCCAAGCCTGCCACGTCTATCGAACGTACGTGTAGAAGACACGAAAAGTCTTCCAACAGTACCATTCTAGGCAGACGACACTGACATAAGCCGCAAACGTCGCAAGCAGCAGCGTTGGGACGCATCAACGAGGCCGGCGAGGACGTGGCAACAGTGCTATGACTCAGCTCTCCTCGTTCCAACCGTTTCCCTTGTCCCCTGGCCCCTCCTCAACTGCCTCTACGCAGCTGACGCCCTTCTCCTCCCGCTGAGAGCTCCCCACCACGCTCTCACTCGATTCTATCCTTCCTCCTATCGTGTCCGAAGTTCCCCCTACCCCACGATCCGCTCCGTTCCACTCCCCTATCGGCTTACCGCTCCTTCCTTCTCCCCCACTCCGTCGCCGTCACCGACGCCACGACCCCGACTCTCTTGGGGTACTGACAACTCGTTTGTCCCCTCTCCAGAAGCGTGCGCGGGCCGATTCCTACACGGCATCGTGCCGCTAGCGAGACGAGCGTGCAAAGTCCCCTTTGGAAGAAAAACACCTCTCTAGCCCCCGCGCCTTTCTGCTTTTTCTCTCCTTCTCTGTCTCTGTCGTTGCCGCTTTCTATCCTTGTCTTCCTTCTATCTCTCTCTGAGCACACCCTACCTCCCTCTTAGCCCACCACGTCCATCTCCACTGCCCCCGGCCTGTTCGTTTTTCTTCG